CAAGAAGTGTAGCATATCATCCCATCGTATTCGATATCTTCTTTTGGTCTGGCAAATCGCACTGACTCCTCTGCTGCATTTTAATAAACAAACTCTTTAAATTGCCGACCGACCCTTCATCGTATCGACTCGTCATAATCATCGTCTTCGTGTCTTTTAATCGTACATAGATGCCCCTCTTAATTGTGTTGGTTAGGTGGGCAAAGCGGCGGGGTCGCGTGGCTCTGTTTTCCCTCACCCAGGTCTTGGATATATCGATGCGCTTCGTTTGCAATGTAGTTCTGAATCAAGTGGCATTCGCAGTCGGTGTGTTGTAAGAGCCTCATCTTGAGTTCGTAGACCTGCATCGTGAGTTCAGACACGCAGCTTGACAAGTCGCGGTTTGCTCGCTCCATGTCTTGTTCGTCGGCTCGAAGTTTCTTGGCGTCTTCACGCTTCTTGACGCGGAATTTGTTGGAGGCGACGCGGTTCCTCTCCTGAACCTTTTTACTGTGCTCATCGAGTTCTTCTGATTCGGGAGACGGCGATCTCGTCTTTGTAGATTGGACCTTTGCCGCTGCTTTCCCTTTGCCGCGTCTTTTGGGCTTTTGTGAGCCTGTTCGAGTTTCTGATTTGATGGTCTTCCGAGTTGACGCGCGTCTTGGAGTTTTCGACGTTGTGGATAGGCTCGCGTTGCGTTTTCGTTTGTCGGGCTGGGTTGTAGCAGAGGGTCGACGGCGTTCGGGGGAACCGGTCACGTTCTCTACGCTGGTTGACTCTGTGGATGGAGACGGGACGGGATAGCTGTACATTGAGGTTGAAGGGGATGTCCACTGCGCCGAGGAGTCCTGATCGTAGGCGTACTGGGCGTATTGTTGCTGGTGTTCTTGCGCGTAGGCATTTGGGGCGGCCATGTTTGATGCTTCGGCAAAGGCGGCATTCTCAGGAGACCACCATTGCTCCCAAGCACCCTGGGGAAACGAGCCGTGTAGATTCATGTCCAATTGGTCTTGGGCCATGCGTTGCATGTTTGCATCGTAGGGCTGGCTGCCATTGTCACTGGGAGGATGGTGCTGTTGTTGGAAGGGAGGGTAAACTGTGCCCATCTTTGCAACTTGGATGGGTGCTGCTGTTAGATAGCTTGGTCGAGTCTGACGTTCAAGCTTTAGTCAAGTCAAGAACCGTAGTGGAGACGAAAAATGTTCCTAGGAGTGAAGCTTGGACCCTGCAAATGGAGGCGAGGTGCAAATGTTATAAATAAGAGAGGCACAAAAGAATGGTGCAGGACCAGGTTCGGGGGGACAATGCGGGAGCCAAGAGGGGGGCGAGTACTAAACGGCGAGCGCCTAGAGTGCCTGGCATGTCGACATACAGTACCAATGTACTGTAGTACTAAATCTGGTCTTTTGCCAAAGTGAGGACAAGACAAGACAAGATATGGGAAGGGGAACTGAACACCAAGCCCAAGCCATCAAGTACGGAATGAGTTTAGCCCTGGGGATATGTGATGCACGAAACTGGGGTCTGGAGCCAGGGGTGTGAGGGGTTGATAAGGTAAGAGTGGACTTTACGCCAAATGTGTCACATTTTAGTGAAGAATCCGGCTTAAGCTACCTTATGCTTGGAAAGGAATCCAGAGCATTACCGGCGGGGATGACAGGAGGTGCTGCTGACAATTGGCTTGGGTATTTTGACCAAACATACATACAAACGCGATAGAGCTATCACAGTGAATGATGCTCATTTTAAAGGGTCTCACGGCAGTTAATAATATGACATGGAGATCATCGAGGAGAAAGCTGCATCAGGCTATGATGGATGGGCACTGTAGATACCAGTGCGCATCCCCACGAAAGCAAAACAGCCAAAGCCAACCAAACAACCTGTGAGACATTGGGGCAAACAAAGATCTTCCCAACGCCATGAGGCGGTTGCAGCAATGCCCGGACGATATTTCCCTGAAGTTCCTCACAAAATACTAGGCCCAGACGAGGCTAGCAATGTGCGTGTGAAGAAGACAGTGAAAATTAGAGTCCCGGGTCATGATTGGATGACATCTCTCGGTTTTGTGTCCGATGGTCGTTATTGGTGGATAAGGTCCGGACAATCACAAGTATGTATTTGGGCTTGACAGGAGTGTCACGCCAAAACCTAACAGCCCACGCAATGAGGCAACAATTCATTCACTGCTTGTTGACTATCACGAGAGGGAGATAATAAGAGAGCGGAGAAGGAAAGGAGAACGGAAGAAAAGAAAAGAAAGACCATCGCTACGTTGAACTTGTCACCTTTTTCAGGGCTACTATGTACGGATCCTTGTCATGCATGAGAAGGGATAACACTCCCCTCTGCATATCCGTACATACATTGGCTGAAGAGTCTGACATGGATGCAACAATTCTCACCAGCCAAGCCCTCATTGGCCAGCGAAAATTCAGCACCCAATCAGCGCTCACGGACCTGCGAGCCGTCTACAGGGGTCAAACTACGTATTTTACGTATGTACCCAATATGGCTTGAAAGGGACGAGATCAAGTCTTTTTTCTTTTTTCTTTTTTCGGCCGGGGGGCACTACATCTGCGAGATGTTGACCTTCCGACATCACATTCTTTGCATTGTGTCGTATCTGTTATTCATTCCGAATTGGCTTTTCCTCTTTTTTTTGCCGAATGCTACTATTCATCTCACGAGTCCCCTTAGAAATCGGCAGATCGTGCAGATACCATTACGATGCGTTTGCGTCGACTTTTGCAAGCCACGTTGGAAGAAAACAACACGGCATTTTGGTCAAGCTAACTGTCCTCGACGATGGACGGGTTGCTCATCAGTGATAAGGGTCTCATCACACCATTCATGCATCTGCAGAACAAACAGTAAACTATGCACTTCGTGAGAACTCCAAGATCCTTTGACATACTGTAGAGAAAAATGTTCAAAGATCTGCAGGATGGATCCTCAGTCCTTGGAATGGGTAGGCCATCACCTTGTTTTGTTTGTCTTGGATGGCGGCAGCTCATACCAGGCCTGCAATTACCCCCGAGGATGGTCACAAACGTCCTCCAATGTGGGTGCACTGCATGAATAAGACCCCTTGTTTTGATGAGGAGAACAACTTCTCATTATCTAGAGTAACACGTCACTTAAAAATGGGTTGGGCGAGATCATGTTGTGTAGCCAGAGAATTGGGGAGGTAATCTTGCACTGTACAGTATTGCCGACGGACCACTCCCGGTGGCTCTCAATGGTTGATGATATTTCTGAAAAACGTCACCCAACCCTAGTTATTCATGAGCAGGCAGAAGAGATATCACCCAAGCATGGCACCAACGTGCGTATCGAAGGGTTTGAAGAGTCAATATCGCCGTAAATCGAGGCCGCAATCGTCTCAAGAATGTTCAAATTACCATATTGGCCGTGATTCATTGCACAGGTAACCCTCACTCCATCCAGCCGCAATATTGACAAGGGTTTTGAGTAGTGCTTGTCTGTTTACTGGAGACAAGGTTTCAGCGTACGTCGTTCTGCCCAACTCCCGTTAGGCTCTGGGGGGAGCATTGCGATTCCCAGGTCCGTGCCGAGGCTTATCCTCCGATGCCAATAAATTCTCCCTTTGCTGGCTTGCCCAGAGCCCTGGCTTTTTATTTCAGTGAGAGAAAATAAAATTCAAGTCCCGTTTTCCGTAGCCAGTTTCTCCGGTGATTCCTATTGGTTCCGTTGTAAATCTGAGTGACAGTGATCCTTCTCTCCTTCGTTGAGGATATTCGACACACCAGCAGAATCGCTTTTCATCGCGGCCACGATGATTCACTGCTGCAGCACAAGATCGAAGAGTCTCTTCTTTTGAGCACTTCTTTCAACATGTTCCCTTTTACTCTTCCGCAACGCCTTCCGGCATAATGTACGAACCAGCTTCTTCAGCCCCTTTTGCCCGTGCCGCTCTCAATCCTCCCGTACGCTTCGTACCACCTTGCACAGCTCCAGCAATCATCAAGCAAGAACCAGATGATTCGGAACCAATACTGATAGGCAGCAACAGTCCCTCGCCTGAACCTCGATCCACCGCCAAATCCCGCGATCGCCTCTTCACATCCCTCGAACTCGGCGATCATATCCTTCGAAGCCCACGATCCATCACGACTCCTGACGATCTCGACGACTCTGAACTGAAACGATGCTTCGATATACTCCACGCCTGCAGCCTTGCGACCGAGTTGAATGCGACGCTTTTGAAGACGAAGGACACAATGGAGGACTTCCTAACGGCCATCTTCAAGAACTGGACGGGAGACGCGGGTGCACCAGACAAGCCAGCTATGGACTTTGTGGTTCGCGAGTATATTAGCGTTGGGAACATTTGCAGTAAGAGATATGTCAATTGCAACGTCACTTGACTTGACATTAACCCTTCTAGGCCAACCCCCCAATCATCGAACCAGCTCCTCATGCGCCGAATCATCATCCTGTTGCACCCCAGTCTTTGGAATCGCCACTTATCGAAGCCGGCCAGCTCAACTAAGCATCAGTTTCTCCACCACAGAACCTGAGCAAGGTTCGAGTCAGGATGCGCAAGACTTCTTCTGCCCAATGGAACGCACTGATGTGAGGTGGGAGGAGAGCGATTGGATGGCCGATCTACGACGGAGCATGAGGAGAACCTGTATCAACAAGGTGCATAGGTACAATAAATATCTTGCGATCTGGTACGTGAGATGTTTGGTTGGAGGCTGGGCGAAGGGAAGTATTTGGATGGGGAAGGACGTTGAGGTCTTTTCGTTTGTGGCGAAAGAGGCTGTTGATGCCGCGTTTGCTATGATGGGGGACACTTGATGGCTCTTTGGGAGATGATGCACACTAAATTGAAAGACAATGGGCTTGGGCACCGAGACAAAGACATCGCAGACAATATGCTACGCAAATACGGTAACAAAAGGTTACACGGCTGGGAGTTTTGCTATTTGGGAGCTTACAGAGGACGATACCAAGATCAACAAATCATGACTTTTCTTTGAGATTTTTCTACTTTAATCGACTTCTTGTAGGTGCTTCTTTATCGACCTCAAGCCATGTGGATGGTCATGTCCTTCATGGTCCTCATCGTCATCATCCTCCGGCCAATCAGGAAACCCATCATCAAACAGATCCTCCAGCGCCTCACGCTTCTCCTCATCACTCTTCTTCTCATCTCTCATGACAGCTTCCCACTTCTTCAACTCACCGTCAGTGAGTAAACATTCATCCAAAATCTTCTCAATGGCCTTGTGATCCAAATTCTCTCCGATAAACACCAGTTCCTGGCGTCTATCTCCCCACTCTCCACCTTTCTTGATGTCATGCTGCACAAGCCCATCAACCTCGGGATCACCGGTCGTGTACTCCTCTGCAGGAAGAGTGCAGAACCATGGGCGTCCGCCAGTCAGTGTAAGCATAGCTCCAGCCTGGGACCAGTCTCCTGCGCGGTGGGGACGTGTTGCGAGGAAGAATTCACCCTTTGAGCGGAAGAGTCGTGTAAAGATGGGATGTTTGCGCTTGGTTTCTAGGATTACTTCGTTAGAGGGTGTGAAGAGATCATCTGCGTCTTGCATTTCTGAGTCATCAAACTTTTGCTTCTTAGACGCAGGTTCAGGTGAGGGGGCAGATTCTAAGGTGGAATGGGAGCTTCGAGGTGATGATGCGGCTGAGCGCTTTCCCTGGGATGAAGAAGATTCAGAAGTATCCTGGTCGACAACAGCAGCCTCGGCTGAGTCCTCAGCATCTGCGTAGTCCACCATCTCAAGGTCTTCATCATCTTCCTCTTCCTCTTCCTCCTCGCCATCTTCGGGCTGCTCAAGCTGCAGGATGAACTTGTCATACAGCAGCGCCCAGAGTCGACGAGGGTGGAATGGTCGATGACGACTGTAGATGCAGCTTCGCACAGAGTACTCCTCAGTCTCGGGCTTTGGTGTAAGCACATTACGACCGTTGACCTGGGGCAACATCAGTAAGTGAAGCCCACTTCGAACTGGTAAGGGGACGGATATATCATACCTCACGGACAGTCATGGCATGAAGGTCCTGGAGCCATCCATAACCGGACTGAGCAACCTGAAGATTGAACATGCCAGTGTTGACAATCTGCTTGACATCGACCTTGCCATAGCTCGACTCAAGGATCTTGGCGCGGTGGTTGAGCTTCTTGATCAAGTCTAGCAAGCGAGGTTTTGTCGACGCATCAACCTGATGATATTTTAGCTCATCGATCCCTGGAGAGGGGCCGTTCTTTAACTCACCATGTCGAGTTTGTTGAGGATGATGACATCCGCAAATTCAATTTGATCAACCATCAAATCAGAGACAGTCCTCTCATCCTCAGGCGTGACATCGTCACGTCTTGAAGAAAGAAGATCACTCGTATCAAAGTCATGCAACATAGTAAACGCATCAATGACAGTGACAGTAGTGTCGAGTCTGGCAAACTTCTCAAGACCACCAGCGTCCTTGCTGTACAAATATTAGAGTCTCGCCCCTCGCTTCCGGTAACGATACTTACAGTTGCTGAAGAACCTTGATCATATCAGCGTCCAGGCCAGGTGCACCCTCAATGGATCCCATAGCGTCCATCTGCTCAGCAAGTCTCGAGTCGAATGTCTCAGCGACCTGCTCGGGCTCACTGATACCGCTGCTCTCGATGATGATGTAGTCAAACTCTTGAAGTTGAGCTAGACGAACAAGCTCTTCTAGGAGATCGCCACGGAGGGTGCAGCAGATACAGCCATTCTGAAGAGCGATAACTTTCTCTTGGGTCTTTGAAAGATGGTGTGTTTTCTTGATGAGGGAGGCATCGACATTGATACTAGAGAGGTCAGACGTTGGTAGTGCTGAAAGGAAGTGGTAACATACGCTCCAATGTCATTGACTACAACCGCAATGCGAAGGCCATGCTCGCTTCGGAGGATATGTTGAAGAAGGGTCGTTTTACCAGAGCCCTACACAGTCAACAACAGTTCCATGGTCATGTATCAAGGAGACTTACCAAGAACCCAGAAAGAAGTGTCACGGGTAGAGCTTTTGGAGGAATGCTAGGCTTCTTAGCACCCTTGCTCTTGTTTCCTTTCTTGACCTTATTCTTAGCCATTTTGAACTGGAACAGACAGTGAGTAAAAAACAAGAAAAAGAAGAGAAACACCCCGACGAGATGTGAAAAGTGAAAGATAAATGGGGTTCAGAAAAGTTTCTTTCTTGGAAGGGTGGTATTTCTACTTGTTGTGACTTACACAGCATTCTTGCTTACCTACAAGTGCAGTGCTCATCAAGGTATGAACTCTGAAGCCATCAAGGTGATGCTATCGCGAGTTTGAGTACCTTGATGACAATTTGTGTGAGTTGATTGGCTACTGTTGAGGAACATGGCTATTGAGTTCGGCACTAATTGTGAAAAGGTTTAGTGAAATATGCAGCCAAAGATGGGGGACACGGAGCCTCCAACGGGGTTTGACGGCTTCGATGACCATACGAAGATAGAATCGACCAAGTGGCAGGTCTACAATTCAGCATTTCTGCGTGTGGCTATGGGTGAATTTGCAAAAAGGTTCATAAAAAGGCTTATTAGCATTGACAAGTTTAGAGCTGAAAATATGGCAAGACGCCACCACTCAGTGATGATGATTAAAAGATGGCTTAGTGCGCTCCATGACCAGGGTATCTGCTGCATTATCAATTCTCGTAAGTTCATTGGTTTAGCCAGCGTCTTTCTGTCAACTATCACAGACTAGGAATTGTCCAAATGGCTTGAGATCCAAGACAGTTGGCATCATGACAACCCTGTTGAGTCCTTGAGAACCTTGATGTCTTTTGTCATGATACTCCGAATGATGCAATAGGAAAACTTTGTTTTATTTTTGCTGGTAGTAAATTTCTAGACGCTAATCCAGGGTCTGGTTAATGGCGAGGTTCGAGTAGTGATGATATTCAAGGGAATCTCTGTCGCTTTTATATAAAATACAAAAATTATCCGGCTGGTGGTCAATGTTGACAGACATTGGCTGGATCAATCGAGGTACAGGGACTTTGACAAGACTTACCCTCAGAGTTAGCTCTGTAGAGCTAACCTTCATACGACTGGGCCTTAAGTTGCCTTGATTGTTTTGGGGTGACATCTGATCAAGTCATCGTCCTTGATCCATAGCATGGACTGGCACTACGCCTTCCTGGCCTCGACTGGACGAAGTGTTGAATGGGCAAAGGGTGGATCCGTCAAGATGGCCATCATGAGCAAAATTTGACTCTTGATACATAAGGTCCAGACACTGGTGGTGGCTCTACCATTACTGCAAAATAATTTGTGAGCGCATTCGTTGGACAGAAGTAGGCTACATAAAGTGACCTAGGCCGTTATCGCAAACTATGGCAGCCTGCTTTTTCCATTGCTCTAAATTTGACGATTATGCCAAGTATAAAATCAGCTTATTCACGATGCTCAATCTTCTGACGGAATCTCGATACTCTGGACAGGAGCTATGTCAAATCCGATCTCTCGGCCGAGCAGCTTGAGAGGCGGCCCTAGGGTAACCAATGATGAGTTGTTGTTTTCAATGGCCCGCAGGATGGAAACAGCCATACCGCCTGGTGCAACAGGTATGCAGATATCGAGAGGTACGGACACAGATATTCAGCTTATTTTCCGATAAGCGCAGGCACTCCCAAATATTACGATGAGACCCCTGGTCAGTATTCAGAATTGCAAAGAGAGGCGCGCTGTTTGCCGGCGTCTTTCAGTGAGGGGCGCTAGCAGAGCAAATCACGTACCGACCTCCTACTGCCGGCGCTGTTGTAATTAAATAAAGCGTTGCATGCCGAGGTGGGCAATAAATTGATCTTCGTCGACATAACTCAATAGAACGGCAAATCTTTGATCCAATTGAAGTGTAATGCAGACTTGCTGTCTCTGTTACGGGGCGCAAGCCTCGGGTTGCCTAAATCGGTGATGATCTGGGTATTCTTATACCCGGTCGTCGTTAAGCAGCTACACAGTGAGAGCCATCCATCCTAACAAATATAAGGATTGCTTTATTTTAAAATTCATGCGCAATTACAATAACTCCATATATATATAGTATTGCTCTTATTCGATGATTTTACCACGTTGTTCGTGTTGTTTATATAGAATCTGCTGATATTCACATAACGAGGCACATCTCAGCCGAAACCAACTGCCGCAGCGTCGAGCCGCAGCGCCTCCCGTCTCTCAGGCCCGAAACCGAGAAAGACAGCTCTCAACGCGGGGTCTCCGCAATCTCCACGCCGGCCCGATCGTTCTACCCAAGGTAAACGGTAAACGACCTCACTCACCTCAATTATAAGATCAATTCCAGCTTCAGACTCTTTGCCTTGCCATCAATTCCTCTCCTTCACAATCAGCCTGTACAGTAGCCCCCCCTGCGTGTCACCCAGCAACCAGCAGAGCAACATCAACAAAGCAAAGCAGAGCAAAGGGCAAAAAGTTACACCGACACAGAGAGAGACACAAAATGGCAGACATAAAGCCCGCTTATGCAGGCACACCCGCCAACGTCCCAGGCGCGAACGTCTTCGACTTCTTATTCAGCAATCCCTTCCAGAAGGAAAACGAGTTCACGCCTAGGGCGAGACGTGTGCCAAAGATCCATGATGATCAGCCCATTTTCGTTGACCACGCCAGCGGTACGTTGCACTCCCAAACTCAATCTTGCATCCAAACTCAACATCATATCATGGCGACACGTACTGACTTATCTAGACCGTCCTCTCACTTACTCACGCGTAAAGCGCGATGCCCTCACTCTCGCATCAAACCTCCAATCTCTCGGTCTTGACCCCAATGAAATCGAGACCCTCCCTCCAACAGCATCATGTTCTGGCCCAGAGGTCGCACCCGTGGTGCTCATTCAATTGCCTAACTGTTTGCCCTTTGCGACACTGATGATGGGTGCCATTGCAGCTGGGTTGACTACCACATTAGCATCGCCCTCACTATCTGCTACTGAGCTCTCATGGGTTATCAAGAACTCGCGTCCTCGCGTGCTCTTCACAGCGAAAGCTTTCCTCAACACTATTGAGAAGGCGCTTGAGCAGCAGGAAGACGAGGCGTACAAGAGAAGTGTGCGCGTCTACACAGTCGATGTAGCGTGGGATTTGTACCCTCTCTCACCGGCTTCTCACGCTGAGGATGGCGATTGGAAGAACCTTCTTATGCCAGCAAAAGAGCCTCTTACTGCTGGTCATCCTTTCTCTCCAGAATCCGCCGCCACGCGAACAGCAATCATTCTCTGGTCATCTGGTACCTCAGGTCGGTCAAAGGGTGTTTTGCTGTCCCATCAAGCCATCAACTTCTCAATCGCATCGCTGTGGCACGATGCGGACTTTTACGGCTTTCACCAGCGATGGCTAGGTTACGTGCCATTTTACCACGTCTTCGGTCTCACCAACATCTTCCTGCTAGCATTCGCAACTGGATCTACGGTGTTTAGCATGCCCGCATTCAAGCTCGACACTGTTTTATCCGCGATCCCGCGCCGACAGATCACTTATCTTCACATGGCACCTCCCGTGGCTGTCATGCTCGCCAAATCACCCGTGGTAGAACCCTTCGCGCGACGCGACGCGCGCGGTCGCAATGCTTTCAGCAGTGTTGTTGCAGGTGTCACAGGCGGTGCGCCTCTCGGCCACGAAGTCGTAGAGAAGGTTTTCCAGCGACTCGGCTTCCTCGTGAGGCTTGGGTACGGCATGTCGGAAGCGTGCAGTGTCACTCTGCAAAGAGGTCTCAAGGAAGAGGACATGCACAGTTACAAGCACGATACAGGAAAGCCTCATTGGGGCGTTGAACTTATGATCGCTGGGTCAGGCGAATTGAACTCTGAGGATTCCACCACAAAGGCTGCGCCGTTCGGTGCTGAGGGTGAGATTCTTGTAAGATCGCCCGGATTGATGAGTGCTTATGTCCCATCCCATGGACTGGGAAGTAAAGAAGCGCCCGATATGAGCGTCACAACAGAGGCGTTCACGTCAGATGGATGGCTTCGAACCGGCGACGTCGGCCATCTGGACGAGGAGGGCACTCTCTGCATCACAGACCGCATCAAAGAAATGATCAAAGTGCGCGCTTACCAAGTCGCACCCGCTGAATTGGAGGCTATTCTCTGCAGCAGCGATGACGTTGCTGACGCTGGCGTGATTGGCATACACGATAAGAACGAAGCGACGGAGTGGCCACGCGCTTACGTCGTCGCAGCGGACGAGAGCAAGTCAGAGGCTGAGCTTCAAAAGTTGGCGCATGATCTCAAGGATTTGGTCGAGAGTCATTCAGCGCGGTACAAGTGGCTCGTTGGCGGAATTGTCTTCGTAAAAGCGATCCCCAAATCACCGAGTGGAAAGATTCTCCGAAGGGTTATTCGGGATGGCGGCATACAGGGTTTGGAGGTCTCACTCTACCAGCGCAAGAAGCGAGACCACAAGCTGTAAATTTTGGCTATACTACAGCACACTACGCATGTACTAAGAGCGCTTGTAAAACTCTTTTTTTCATCTAGCTTAGCATTTCTCTTTATGGAGTATCTCATTAATAACACGGCAGTTTAGATTGCAGGTCTCAGCTGTGTTTACACAAAGATTACTAAAACATGCACCGTGATTGGCCGGGCTTCTAAATACCCGTGATGGATTCGGTCTCGGACTTAGCCCTTTCGGACAAGGGAGCTCTTTTCGGTCTGTGCAAGGTGTGGAGAGACAAAGAGCGAGATGGGTATAAGACCTGCTTGGAGAACGGCAGTGAATGTGAAAGTATACGATAGAAGTCTTTTTCGCGTTCGATTCGCTTATCAATTAAACCTGCCAATTGAACTCGTGGCGAATTGCTTTATAAGGCCTGTCTAATAACACCACCTCGCAAACACCATCACGTCAATCTCAGAAAAAACACAATGACACACATTACATCAGAATCTACTCCCCTCCTCCCAGAGCCTGCCACTGAGCGCTCAATCTCCTACCAAAGCTCCCATCCCGCCTACGATGCGCGGCCACTGCACCCCAACTACAGCAAGCATGAAGAATGTCATGTTGACTACAGCGACATCCTTCGCGACATCATCATTGGCTTCTCAGACGGTCTCACAGTGCCTTTTGCCCTAACAGCAGGCCTGTCAAGTCTCGGCAGTGCAAAGGTCGTCATCATCGCTGGTCTTGCAGAGCTCTTCTCCGGCATGATCAGTATGGGTCTAGGCGCCTACCTCGCCGCCGTCACAGAGCGCGACGCGTATCATTCACAAGCTGGTAAAAAGGAATTCGCGGTTCAGAATAGACCTGGTGACGAGCGCACGGGTGTTTACGATGTTTTGGAAAAGTACAGCGTTTCACGAACTGCCGCTGCACCTTTAGTAGACGAGCTCTGCAAGAACCCCACAGAATGGGTGCGCTTCATGATGGATTTCGAACTCAAGCTTGAGGAGCCCAATGTTCATCGCGCGTGGATCTCAGCGGTTACCATGGGATTGAGCTACTTCATCGGCGGGCTGATCCCCATGATTCCCTACTTCGTCATGTCTCGCGTGCGCGAAGCATTGTTCGTATCGATTGGTATCACGGTCGCTGTGTTGTTGGTATTTGGATACGTCAAGAACTACGTCGCTATTCGCAATCATCGTGCGGGCGTCTGGGGAGCGGTGCAGACATTGATTATTGGCATGTTGGCAGCTGGCACAAGCTATGCGATCGTGCGGGGTCTGGATTCGAACGATTCTTGAAAGATGGTGTGACTATGGCGCGACGGCGGCGTTTGGCTACGGCGTTAAGGTTCTTTTGAGCGCGAGCAAAGTCCTCGTGATGGAAGGTGTGATTCAGGATTTGGGTGCGACAGGGATAAAAGTGATGATAGCAGAATATTCGTAATAACGACCGAAATGACAAACTCCATTCCTCCGAGGCAGCGCGTTTGCTTGCCTAACCCAACAACCGTCTCCCGTTCCTGCCTCCTCCCCCACTCATTAGTAGTGATCTGTTCGTTGGTATCATCAACACTGACCTGGAAAAGAAGGTGAAGCCATCGCCCTCCCCAGAGTGATCGGAATTGAGTCATCCAGCCCCCGAAGGGGACAGGACGCCGCGTATCGCACTTCAGTTTTTCCCAAAACGAGCCTCGCAAAGACGTTCCCATAGAGACAGCGTGACGAAAGCACGCGCTCTGAGTATTTCTGATATCTTTTGCAGACGTGACATTGACGCCAGGCCGTTACCGGCAGACCAACGGTTCCAGCAGGATGCTAGATGTCGGCGATGGGTGAGGCTTACTCCGAATTTCCCACATGCGAAGATTAATTGAGAAACAGCGCGAGGCGTGTCTCTCTGTTTGTAGCATGGAAACGCAGCGTTGGGGAGGGCGAATGGCTTGAGGAGGGAAAGATTTTGGAAGCGAGGAAAGGTTTTTTATTGTGCGGATACAGCCGGGGTTAGGCCGGCTGGGGCTGTAGGGTAGGCTTGTTTTTTTAGTGAAGATACCTGTCAACCTCGAAAACTTAATGATGGACCCTTGTAGCCCCGGGAATTTGGTAGCGAATGTGATTGAAGATAGGTTTCCAGGGTGCGACTTTGATTTTTTTCCTTGGTGTCATGGCTTCGACGCCTCAAAATGCCGGTCGCCCAACTTTGACATTTTAACTACAACTTCAGCCATGAAACTGCATATCGACCCTCATCAAAGAAGACCGACGAGAATCAAGGAATGATTCGAGCGATCCTGAACCAACGGCAGCTATGATAAAGCTCTCAAGAACCCTTCTCGAGAAAAAAGCTGGCGAATGTTCAGCTCTCAGTCAAAATCATGACCAAGCTTTCACCCAGACTGAGATTGTTTTCAAACATTACACTTGCATGTCAGAGTAATCGTCTCTAACTGAAGATAGATGACTGCAACAAGAGAGAGTAGGAATGGGTACATAGTGATTGGAAAGTTACAGTTCATTAATGAACTCGCTCACTCTTAGTGAGATTGTCTAGGGCAACATGAGGAAGTTAAAGTTCATTATTTTCTTTATTCATTAACATAGGAATTATTTTATACGACGTTAAAGAGACGTTTCCGACCTAACCTCTGACCTTGCACTCTTATGATCCATATCCTTCATATGAACCAAGTATGTCTCATCATTATCTCCATATTCCACCTCATATGTCCTATGACATTCAATGCCGACAGGGTCGACTCTTCTTTGTGATCGATCCGCTTGAGAAGTAGCATTTGTTCCAAGAGGAATACTGCGATTGTGAGTATTGCCAGGTGTTTGCTTGTTGCTCTTGCTGCCATAGTTATAGTAGCGTTGGGAAGTACCAAGAATCTTGGGGAACAGGCGGACGAGAAGAATTCGAAGGGAAGGCATGCAGGCGCAGATGATACCGACGTTGCCTTCGATGGTGGACCATTTTGATACAGCGAGGTATTCCCATGTCGCATTGGTGGTTTTGACGCCGGCTTGGACTGTGGCGTGAAGACGAAGAATGCTCATGATTGTGACACTTAAAAATGTTAGTGAGTGAAGAGTCCGAGGTGGCTAGGGATGAACTTACAAGATACCAACGCTGAACATCATGCCAACACCGATCTTCTTTCGCCAATCCAAGTTTAGTGACTTGAGTTGAGACAAGGGAATGCCAAGGATCCAAAAGTCAAGGGCGATGTTGATAGCGGCATTGGACCAAGTAACCGCGTTGATATCAGCACATTTGCCTTCATGTTGTCCATCCCACTTCAGCCAGAAGTAGTTGATAGGTCGACACTGGAAGATAGCCACGAAGATAAACACCAGCCCAAAGACAACTGTGAAGGCAACAGTTCCCCAAAGCAACCTCCTGACATTCTGCGTCGGAAAGATTCTCAGGTAGAAGAACAGCATGGACAACTTCAGAAACGTTTGGAGTGAGAAGTACAGGATGGCCATGGTGTAGAAGAACATTCCAAAATGAGTGATCTGATCAGGTGTAACGGTCCAGATGTCGCGACCCATGCCGTTCGGAGCGAGACCACGAGAGTTGATGACGATGGAAGGAATGGCGACACACATTGTCAGTGCAATGAAGAGATCGTCAAGGCCGAGTGGGAGCTTCCAGTAGAGCTTTGTGCCAAATCTCTGAATGATGAAGATTCCTGTTATGATGGCCATGACTTCATTGAGGACTACGAATTGGGGTGAGTGGTCTCTGACAGGAGCGCCACATGCTGTGAGGGTAGCATTTTTCGTGACTACAATACAAATGTAAGTTGGTGCACAATAAAAGACCCAAGGTCAACATACCAAGAGACTGTGGAATTGTACATGCGCGCATGACGCAGCCTTCGATGTCTTGTTGTAGTGCGGCGTTAGTGCACATGCACTTCTGGTCTGTAAGTTCACATGTCGATCGCTCAACAGCCGACACGAAACAATTTGCCTAGGTCCCCATCAGTCACAACTCACATGTGAAAGTCATTCAAAAAAAAAGAAACTCACAGCACATTCCGGTAACGCAGACAAAGCAGAAGCAGCAGCAGAAGAGGAAGACTCTGGCTGAGCAAAAGCCAACGGCAGAGCCGCAAGGCAAGCGAAAACAGCCCCACGCAGTAGCCGCATCATAAAAAGCAAGATGATGGAAAAACAGATGGATCTGGGGATTGGGTGGGAGAGGGTGGACTGATATGTAGTTGCAGGGCTAGACAAGATCTTCTGCAAGGGAACTTCAGCCCAGTTTTATGTCACTGCCCGAGCTGTGGTTCAGATTCGTGCGTTAGTTCCGCGGTCAGACCCGCACAGACTGATCTGATCCAGTGTTTCGAGTCAAGACAGACATGATAATGGGGGAAGGACAAGTCAAGAACAGGCTGAATACGATCAGAATAAGGTAAGCCAAGGCGGAAGAGAAGGTCCCAAGGAACCGGATCAGGATGAACTTAATAAGTTTGGTAGATGGCTTGCAGTGGATACGGCCTTATCATTGGGGACAAAAGGTCCATTACTTGGTGTCTGATATTGACAGGTTCGTTTACGGTGGCCGCGGAATGAAAGAGGGAGGTGTCACTACATCTGTAGTGGTGGGTGAAACGTGAAACCGTCAATCGGTGGTCAGAACTCTAAAACCGGCACTTGAGCCGATGATCTTTTGGCCTTTTCCGGAGCATTGTGCTATACCGCACGCGCACTTTACAAGAAGCTGGTTTTCTACGACGATCTTTGGGCTTTGATGGTCAAAGCAAAAAGAACAGCGAAGATCACGTCTCGATATAGATTAAACATTTTCGATTCCCGAATCCTCCGAACCGGGGCCCGTAGATCATCCATCACGAGTCTCCTCTTCAAGAACCACTCTCTTAAAGACCTGACCTTTGCGCCCCTGCGATATTCACTAGACCCTCTTGGTGATGTATATCCGAGATCAAACCGTGGTATGGGTTCGCCTATTGCGCCACCGTTTGCCAAGAAGACTCACGCTCTCCATTTAGGAAAGTGACTCGCAGCCATTCTAGAAATAACTCAACGTTTATTCACCGTTTTGCGAGGTAAAGGGGGAGCTTTTCCTCTTTCTCGTCCCCTCTCGCTTCTGCTTCAAAGGGGGCCCGTGGTGTGGTGGAGAATGAGACGCAGAGACCCCTGGAGCTAGAGACGCTAACTATAATGGCACCGGACCTTTTTCCAAGCAAAGATTGGTGAGAGGGCTGTGGCGAGTTGGACTGACCAGATGATGGTTCGGGGTGCCAGCTGAGAAGGGCAACATATACCGTTGAGGTGCTGCGAGTATCATGCATCCATTAATTGGCGACCTCCTTGCTGAAACTCTCCCTGCGTGAGAATGTCTGCAGCGTGGTCTAGCCCTGTAACTGCGGGACCCCGTTGAAGATTCTGTCAAGAGTGGCGAATGTGGATGACCTCTTTGGCTTTGACTTTAAACTACTTGACTCAGAAGCAAACATCCATAGTTGAGCAAAATCCCCTCTCCTCTGATCCGCAGTTGTCATGTCATGTCAACCCGATTTCTTTGCAAAGATCATCCACACGTGGCTATGACTGGGTTCGTCGATTGCCAAGGCGGTTGGATTCCGGCTGGAACAACCGGGATCAACATGGGTTTTTTCTTCTTTCATATTTAATCTCCGGCGCTTGGAACCCTTCTCTACCTCGGGTAACTCGGCTATCAGAACCCCATATAGGTCCCCCTGGCATCTTAATGCACATCCCCCATGAGGGACCTGCCAAGAAGGGTTATTCGCGCGGGAGGGCAACATGGCATTGCAGAGTCAAAGATGAACCAACAATCAACAAAGCTTGCTAGTGCGCGGTGAGAGTTGAAGGATCCAAAGCCTGCACTTCGTGGACTATCCATAGACAGATTAGGGGGCTTGTAAATGCTAAAATTCTCGTGAATAAATACTCATTCTGTCCCGCCTAACCACGCCACTTTGTCACTCATTCCGCTCCAAACTACCCTCAAAATGAAGTCCCTCCTCTCCTTGGCGCTTCTGCCTCTAGCACTTCTCATCGATAGCTCCAGCGCCACAAGCGCTAGCTGTCGTTGTCTTCCCAGCGACAAGTGCTGGCCCGCCGATAGCGTCTGGGCCAAGTTCAACACCACCGTCAATGGCGCTCTCATCAAGACTGTCCCCCTTGGCTCGCCATGCCACGACCCCAACTACGACGAGGCGGCTTGCGCTGCCGTCAAGGATGCGTGGAAGTGGCCCATGACACAGTAGGTTTTCCAAACTTTCTAGCGCTGAACGCCACCAATTAACCCTAATTAGTATCGAGACTTCATCGTCGGTGATGCAGAATTGGTTCGCCAATCAGAGCTGTGACGCTTTCACTGCGGAGGAGAAACCCTGCACCCTTGGAAACTACGTTAGCTACGCCGTAAAGGTCTCGAATGCTCGCCAAGTAGCTGCCGCCGTTCAATTCGCAAGCTACTACAACATTCGGCTAGTCGTCCGAAACACGGCGCATGAGTACGTTTCAACCCCAGATTTAAGTTCGATAACCTTATTAACTCTATCGCTTTCTAGCTACTTTGGTCGATCTACTGGTGCTGGCGGCCTCGCTATTTGGACTCATCATCTTAAGAATACTGAGGTCGTTCAATGGGCTGACAAGACTTACAACGGCCCTGCTTTCAAGCTTGGTGCTGGTATCCAGGGCTTCGATAGTGTCGAGTATGCCGACTCGCAGGGACTTACCAGTGTCCCTGGTGAGTGCCCTACTGTAGGCCTTGCTGGCTTCACTCTGGGCGGTGGTCATTCCCCTCTCAGCTCCAGCTACGGTCTTGGTGCTGATAACACCCTCGAGTTTGAGGTTGTCACTGCTGCTGGCCGTATTGTTCGTGCCTCTGCCACTGAGAACAGTGACCTTTACTGGGCTCTCAGCGGCGGTGGCGGTGCCAGCTTTGGTATCGTCACCTCTATGACTGTTCGAGCTCACAAGACCACTACCATCGGTGGTGCCACTCTCACGCTCGTTGCTGGCACTGACAAGGATGTCTTCTACAATGCTGTCGCCAAGTTCCACGAGCTTCTGCCCGCCATGATTGATCACGACGCCACAGTCACTTACATCCTCACCAGCGCCTATCTCTCCATCAAGCCTGTCACCATTGCCAACTCTACTGGCGACTACGTCCGTGATGAGGTTCTCGCTCCTTTCACGGCCTACCTCTCCAAGGCTGGCCTCACGCCCACCGTCTCATACACCACCCTCAGCTTCCGTGACCACTACGAGCTCTACAACGGTCCTCTGCCCGGTGGCCACCTGGAGGCCTCTCAGTTCCAGTTCGGCGGTCGTCTTATTCCCAGATCTGTTCTTGAGACTGATAACGCCAATTTCATCAAGGTCCTGCGCAGCTTTGGTACCGCTGGTGTTCTCGTCGCTGGTAGCAGCGGCAAGTTTGAGGCCTACCCTGGCGTCTCCAACGGTGTCCCCTCCTACTGGCGTAAAGCCGCTATTTCCCTGCAGTTTGGAACTCTTTGGGACTCAACTCGCTGGTCCGACATGATCGCTGATCAGAAGAAGATCACCGAGGTCTACATGCCTCAGCTTAAGGCTGTTACTCCTGGAAGTGGCACCTACATGAACGAGGCTGACTTCAACGAGCCTGATTGGAAGAACGTTTTCTACGGTACAAACTGGAACCGCCTGAACACTATCAAGAAGAAGTGGGATCCTAACTCGTTCTTCTATAACTTCAAGGGTGTTGGAAGCGAGGCTTGGACCGTGGCCAATGATGGTCGTATGTGCAGGGCGTAAGACTTGTAATGACTTCTATTAGCACGTATTTCAACTGTATCATACAATATAGCATTCATAATCTACATAGCATGGGGTATTAGCATTTCACGGGGTATATATTACTAGAATTCTTAACGACCTGTGTTTATACAGCTTTATTCTCCACGTGACATGTGTCTGAATAGCATTCTACGATGATACTGATACCTGGTGAAGAAATCATGGCACTTAAATGACTTACCCAATTCATCGAAGTCGAATGTTACCGTGAAGGTTCTAAGCATCTGTGGCACCAATTTCTCTCTGCTCATTTACTCTCTCAGCCATATGGCATGGTCGTTGTATTATGTTGTAGCAAAAGGTCAAGTTCAGCGCTTCCTATATGAGTAAGGGAACAATCTATTGAAGTCTGAATATATAACTCGAAAGGAATGAAGGAGATATAAAGGTAAATGCAATCCTAGTCCGAACCCTATTCTATCCCGTAAACCACCACCTCTTCGCCAAAGTGAAGTCAATATCCGTTAAAAGACGATGTGCCAATGCCTGACACCTCGTATGCTAAGCCGTTTAGAAGCCACCGTTGGGGTTGGGGTTGGGAATGACCTTTCCGCCCTGCTGAACAGGAGGGATGACCGACTTGACAGTCTCGGCAGCAAGCTCTTTGTGTCTTCGGAGGCTGAAGTCCTGGTTATCAAAGTTCTGGTTGATTACACCAACCATGCCGTTCTGGCAGTGATTTCCCATTTGCTGAGCACAGTAGTACCAGATGGGCTTGGAGTCTTCAACCACAATCTGGAAAACATCAGGAGCCTGGCCCTCCTGGGTAGGGAAGTTGAAGCCGGCGAAGAAACCGCTGCCGTCGGCGAGAGGCTCGCAGGGCTCACCGAAGCTGGACTGGGCGACGGTGTGGTTCTTGGGGAGGAAGTGCCACTCGACAACGTCGCCGACTTCAGCGACGACGTTGTCGGGATCGAATTGAAGACCACCGAGGCCGGCGTTGACGGAGTGGGTTACTCCGGTAAGAGTGACGGTCTTGTCGGGTGTTGAACGGACAGTCTTGGAGGCGGGTGCCGCGGAGACAGTGGCAGCGAGGAGAAGAGTAGCGGAGACGATCTTGGAGAACATTTTGATGGCTTGTGAGTTGTGAAGTTGAAGTTGAAGTGGAAGTTGAAGTTGTTGAGTAGTGTGAAAGTGTGAGTTGTTTGGTTGTTAGTGTTGTTGTGATGGTGATGAGAGTATTGCCAGTAGACCGGAGCTCTCATCCATTATATAGACATTTGGATCTATCAACAATGTATTTGAAATTCGTCAAAGTCATCATCATCATCATAGTGTAACTCATCCCTCTGTGCCACCGCCTCAGCTGGGAATAGCAACCAGCTGTCCAACTCAGCCTTCACCGGAAGAGCTCTCCCCCGAGACCTGTCAACCCAGGATTCTCTCTATTCCCATTGGTCAAAATATGTTTCTAGCATGGCTGAGCGGAGCTGACTGTTTCTCGGCATTTAGTGAGCTGTAAGCGCAGTTTTACACTAGCCCCCAAAGACTGCGCCTCAACGTGGAATGAATGATGAGATTCTTATTTTTATCTGAGTAAGAGCTTTTCTATTGGCCGGAGCATGGAAGTGCTTTTTTGGCAGGCTGCTTATGTTTCAAGTCATAGGATTTGTTTGTGCTATGCTAGTGCTTGTCAAGTCGGAGAAGCTTACTTTGCATGGTGATGCCTGTGTTGCCGACTATCCGAGTACCATGCTTTCCATTTTTTCTGTCAAGGCAGTGGATTAAAATTGGAAGACACCCTGATTGAACAGGTTCGGCCGCTTCGGCTTTGACGACATCCGGCGCTATAACTGTCAAAGCTTTCTACACTGTCAGGCATTACAATCTCACTCAGCGGTGTCCTTGCCATCATAGCCCCAAGCTCCTGGATTGCCCACGATGCTCAATAAGCCAAAAACTACCCCAAAGGAAGGTGAAATCTCCAGACACTCACTCAAGTACCAAAAATCGGAACGTGGCGATCACGCTGGGACACATCGCATGGAATCAACAATTCTGGTTAGGTGGCTCGGCCCCCATATTATTAGCATCAGACCAAAAAACGCAAAGTTTTTGACCCAATGAGGATGTATCTCTGTAATGCGCGACATATGCGTGCCGGCAGTGACCAAAGTCCTTTCTCAGCATAAGTGCAGTTCTCAGTTGGACAGGCGGACTTGACGCGTCTGTCAGCATTCTTGCATACCTGTTGTACTCTAGAAAGCTGGAACTATTTGCTTGGGACCACAGGGAAATATTCGTGACTCGGCTTCCGAATTATGAAAAAAAAAAAGAAGATCCGCACATGAATTATGATCATTTCATTCCAAATCAGCGGTGGAGGGCCATATGAAATGCCAAAGAGCCCTATGGGTCTCCGGATTTGGCCTCGGTGCCAAGTTTAGGTCAATCATGACCACTAGGACTCAGCCTCATTGTCAACGTTTGAAAGTCATACATGTAATGCATAATGCATCCATCCACCATGTCATAATAACTCGGCATTTAATCATCTAGCTCCAACTCACCAAGGCCGTGGATTACTAAATAAACTGTTGTCTAAATTTACTCGTCTGCGTTGTTGTTAACGTGCCTCTCCTGCAGGATTATAGTCCCTAGGACTCTTCTTAGCCCTGCAAGGATGATACCATGCGACTTCGATAATAGCTCACTCGCTCTGCCAATCTACGGGAAGACTTGATGTAGACATAACTATATTTATCCAAGTCAAAACGTCAAACATTTGTCCGATACTAGTGTTGAGCCCCGATAAGTTTCCGAAGATATGTTCCCCGCCCACGAAGGTTCCTTCGTGTCTGGTAGTATGTTGTCTCCTTTGAGGGCGGAGACTGGGATGATAGAAGTGCTATAATCGATTAGTCTCGCGTGCTTATGATCGAAAAGTTAGCTCATACCGATCCTCTAAGTTTGCTGCTCTGAATACATGAACTACGTCTTTAAATGTCTGTTCATACCAATTGATAGAGTCCCTGTACGCCAGTAATGAGTCAAGACTTATTTTCAAAGTTCGGGAACTAGTGTGCTTACATTTTGTTCACTGCTATAATGAGTTTCTTTCGTGGCTGAATCTCACCACTCAACAAAAGGCGCCCTAGCTTTTCGGCCGACGAGTTCCAACTTGATGAATCAGAGCCATCGACCACCCAAATGGCATAATCAGGTTCTTGAAGTTCTGTAGATAGTGTTAGTCTGCAAGGAAAATGAGACTCTTTGGGCCACGTACTCTGAACGGTCACCAATCCTGATGGCGCGTAGAAGGATTGAACATAACCGTTTTTCTCATAAAAAGGCACTATTTCATTGAAAATTTTGATACCCTCGCCCTCCAACTCTCCCAATTGCGGCAGCCCGAGTCCGCACTCATCAGGGTTAGCATTCGTTGGATGATCCAGAGTATTGGTTTAAAGGGGCCTACCTTGTATATGAGGCTTCCGATAAGGGTCTTCTTGCCGGCATTGCCATTGCCAATGACGGTAAGTGATATTCCTGTTGCCATGATAGTATAATCAATTCAATATATTTATTTCATGATAATGGACTGCTGGTGCGATATGAGAAAACCTCAGCGGGGTCGAAGAAAATTGCCTAATCAACTTTGCCTTCACGTGGCGGTGGAGAGTGGAATCTCTCCAGAATTTTAAGCTTTTCGCCCCCAATGGAAGATAAAAGAGATAACGCCATCAAAATGAAGAGAGAAACAAGGGAGGGGAAAAGCCCAAGATTCTCTAGGTAAACATTTGAGCATGATAGACTTTCGTCCCGTGTAGCCTCGTATTTTTTGCTGATAAAAGGCTGAGCACATGTATCAGCAAGTATGTTGGCATCACGCCAAGATCGAGGCATTTACTAGTTTACACGGATAGGGCATTTGTGTCTGTTACCACCAGTGGTTGAGCTATTGTCCCCATAGGCTTAAAGTCGGTCAAGTTTCTGTTGTAGTACAGCCAATAAACCAAGACCATCCGCTCTATCATCTCAACCCTACACGTCATCGAAAACCCATATTTTGTTTCAGAGGAGGTGACAGCATCTCACAGCAATGCATCTCAGTGTTCAGCTGTTGGTCCCCTTGACAGGGGCTTTGCAGCGGCCCGTCAACTTTTCCGTTGAGGAGGGTCTGATACCAAAATCAGCTCATCTACAACCAACATCTGTGTCTCCTTATCTGGTCTGCAGTGTACAGACTCCAGAGAAGAGCATCAAACCCTCTCCATCAACATGAAGCACGTCCATCGTTTCAAGGCCCGTGTTCTCAAGCGATCAGACTTGCCTAGTGGCTCCGCGCTTGAGACCCAGAGCCAGTCTGCTTCGGTTGCTTTACCGGGATCAGCGGAACACCCCGCAGAAAAGAATGGTCTGTTCAAATTGGCCGAAAGCAAACCAGCGTCGGATCTTTCTGGATCCACCAGTTTTCCAGTTGACATTGTTGCAGTCCATGGCCTTAACGGGGATGCCTTCTCAACATGGACCCATAAACCAACCGGCATTCTGTGGCTTCGGGATCTTCTTCCTAGTTATTTACCTGGATGTCGCGTTTACACTTATGGCTACCCATCCAAGATATTCTCTCAGTCGTCGGAACGTGTTCAGGAGTATGCCCTGAACCTTCTAATCTCGCTGAGGGACATCCGCGAGGATTCGGAAAATGTACTTGCCTTACTTCTCTACGCGAACTCCAATCTAACACTAAAAACAGGCAAAACGCTCTGTCGTCTTCATATGCCACAGCCTCGGTGGTATTGTATTTAAACAGGTACGTAAGCTTGTGCAATGACGAAATGAAGCGTACGGGCGTATAAGACTAGCTGACTCTTTCCAGGCACTTGTGACTGCTCATCAAGATAACCACTTATATGGTGAGGTGTTGAACTCAATCATAGGTGTCGTGTTTCTAGGGACTCCCCACCGTGGCAGCACTGCTGCAAATCTTGGCAGCGTTTGCGGTGCAATTGTCAACATGTTTTGGTCTACCGCGTCTGCCGGAGTTGGGCCTCGAACAGTGAGGACGGATCTCCTAAACAATTTGATCTACGACTCAGATGCGCTTCAAGACTTGGCCATGTCGGCACGTGTTCGTCTCGGAAGCATCTCTGTAGTTTCGTGTTTCGAGACCGAGCCAACCCCTCCGCTGTCTTCTTTAGTGAGTGGATTTGTTGTAGCGCATAACCGCCATTAGCAATTAGTTCCTGTGGCTGGTTTTGTATCCTTATTATTTTTGGAAATAACTCACACGGTGAACAGATCGTGAGCAGAGCATCTGCCACACTATCACTCCCTAATGAGGAACCTATTCCCATGTCCGAGGATCATAAGACAATCTGTCGGTTCTCTGGCGAAACAGAAAGCTATCTCAAGGTAGCAAGAGCCATTCGAAGAATTGTCTTGCAGTCATCGAATAGTGGTCCGGCACTCAAGCGTGTTAGCACTCATTCGTCTACTCTTGGTAAGTAGTTTAATACTCTTTTCTTTACCAAGCCTTCTTAACCAGGACTCCAGTTCTCAGTGACTTGGAAAGAACTTGTATGACTCTTCTCAACGACCATGATGTCACAAAAGACGTGGAACCGCCCCCCAAACCAGTGCCCGGGACATGCCAGTGGATTCGCGGCCATCAGTTGTTCATCGCATGGCTTGGAAAGAGCAGCAACGCTCTCCTCTGGCTAACAGGACATCCAGGCTGCGGAAAGACGATGCTGTCTTACTCATTGGCCCAATACTTTGAGGATGCCCGTGCCAAGTCCAGCAACGTTCTGATCTACTTGTGCCAAAATAAGAATAAGCGGACAGACGGCAGAGCAGTGCTTATTGGTCTTATTCTCCAAATTATTGATCGCCATCGCTCACTAATTCGTCATATCCGCGCCGCCTTCGAGAAGCAAGGGTCAAGTATCGTTCAATCTTTCGCCTCGCTCTGGCGCATCTTTCTCAAAGTAACCACGGATCCAAAAATAGGGCCCATCTATGTTATTCTGGATGCCCTGGACGAATGCGAGAAGGTTTCGTGTCACCAGTTGCTCATCTCGATAGCTGAAATGCTCGCCGAACCACCTCAGTCGATTAAGGGCGATAGTCATATCAAGTTTCTCGTTACCAGCCGTCCATTTCTCTATCAATCTTATGCGAACAGCCAGAAGGCCCTCCAGTCTCAGATCTCAATTGATGACGATCAAACAGGCTACACCGAGGACCTCCAGACTTTTATACAGCAGCGCATCCATGAGATCTCTCTCAACAGACAATTCTCAAGTGAGATCAAAGACTTTTTATGCCAAGCCATAACTTCCAAAGCTGATAGAACGTTTCTGTGGATTCATATGGTTCTCGCTTCAATCGAAAAGAGTCTTCTTACTTCAAGAAAAGAGTTCCAGAAGATCATTGCAGGTATTCCAGAGGGCCTCGCCGAGATATACCATCGATATATTTCTGCTATTCCTGAGGATCATGTAGAGGATGCGTCGAAATTACTCAACCTCCTGTTGGCATGCTCAAGACCTCTATCCCTGAACGAGCTCAACATCGCTTTTACAATGGAACCTCAACATACTACTGCTGAGGACATCATGCAGGATACCCATAACTCCATCGCTCATACTGTGCAGGGCATCTTAGGTTCACTGGCCAGAGTTACTGGACAACAAGTTTTTTTAGTTCACCAATCGTTGAAGGAATTTCTCCTAGAGCAGGACCCTGAGAAAGCGAAAGACTCTTCTACTATCCGTCTCGTAAACGCCCAAAAATCCGCTCTCCAGTTGGCAACTGTTTGTATACAATACCTTCTTCTTGATGATTTCGCGATTAACTTCTTTCCGACATGCGACTCGCCAACTACCGCTGCTGCAGAAGACACGGATTTTTTGGTTGAACTGCCGATGGGGGATTTCAAAGGGGACTTTTGGGAACAAGGAGATCTCGATCTCGAATCTGACGTGCTGTTTCGGGAGCCAGATGCACAGCATCCCAATATCTGCGACACTGTGGTCTCAGACTACCCTTTTTACACATACGCGTGTCTACACTGGGCAGAGCACTTCTCTATGTGCGAAGAGAGTGCGCCTGATGACCTCCAAGATGCTGCCAAGTCACTTCTAGACAACAACACAGCGAATTGCCGAAACTGGCTAAGCTTCTACGGCGTGCGAGCTTCAACGTTGATAGAAGGTGACCTCGCTGATTTGGATCCTCTTATTGTCGCATCGCAATTCAATTTGTCTACAGCACTGGATGATATAATACGTGCGAATGGACCTGACCAAGATACAATGAACCAGAGCCTTTACTGGGCATCGCGACTTGGCCATCATCGCATTGTGCCTTCTCTTCTTGCTGCTGGCGCCGATCCTAATGCTAGGCTTATTGAGGGGCAGACAGCGCTTACAGTTGCGTCTGAGCATGGTAGAATATCATGCGTCAAGGCTTTACTAGTAGACATTCGAACCAACGTAAACGAGCCAGGGAGGGCAGGGAGGACTGCTCTGTCGTTTGCATGTGGGGTCGGGCATGACGGTATCGTCAAGGAACTTCTGAAACAAAGGCTCTGCAACGCTGGTCAGCCTGACAACGCAGGAGCCACATCTTTCATCTGGGCTGTTGGTGGAGGCCATCACTCGATCATGTCAACTCTAGCAAGGCTTCACAGTATTAACATCAACCACATGGACAAGACTGGGCGCACAGCAGTATCATGGGCTGCTGGGGATGATATGGCTGACACTCTGATCAGACTACTGAAGCTGCCTGGTATCAATATCAATGCCAAAGACAACAAGGGGAGATCTCCTCTCTCATGGGCAGCTGGCAATGGCTGTGTTGGGGTTATTGAGGTCCTTCTGGCGCACCCAAAACTCGACAAGGCGAGCATCGATAATGACAAGCGAAACGCGATATCTTGGGCAAGTGCCCGCGGCCACTATGAAGTTCTTGTTAAGCTACTCAAAGCAGGCTGTCCAGGAGTTGACGCCGAAGACATCGATACTTGGACGCCGCTGGCATGGGCTATCCAAACCGACTCACCCGATACAGTCCAAGCTCTTGTCAGCGATGGAAAAGTTCAACTTGAACGACCTGATGGCGGTGGAAGAACTGCGTTGTCATGGGCTGTGGAGTATGGGCATGTAGAGGTTGTCAAGGTACTCCTACGGGCAGGTGCGGACCCTTGTACGAAAGATGTCAGGGGGAAAACTCCGTCGATGATTGCCAAAGAATTTGTGAGAGATAATATTTTGAGGGAGCTTGAGGCATATGGAGCGTATTGATATGACAGAGTTCTAACATGGATAGTTTATTTTTATCTTGGAACGAGTCTGAAAGCAGACGCAACACAATGCCGACTGCTGCCAGCCGGAATCTATCTAGTATCGGATATCGATCCGAGGCTTCTGATGATTCTTCCTCCAAGGCTTGGATATTCTCACAAGTCAGAAATGCTAAGTGCCATAAGCTGAATGTGGCTAGCATCTGCCACATACGACCATAGCTCGTAGAAAATACGGGATCCCGTCTGCTCTCCCATAGTCAAGCTGCGAAGCGCTGGATTAGTAGTTGGGTCGGTGACGACCAGCGAATCCCCAGTGTTGTATGTTTTTGGTGTTGAAACTAATTTTTGCTGTCCCCACGATATCCACTTTAGCCGGCTCTCTTGATTCAAACCACCACTACAAGAAACAAGCAACAACAGTAAGAACTGGGCCTCGGATATTAACCCTTTGTCTTAAATATATTTACTGTAATGACTTTTGACCTTTATGTTGCCAAGATTCTTCGACATACTTAATCAAGGCAAGTATTAGAAATGCCCTCCGTTATTGCGTCAAAGCCTGCTGGTTACTGAGATACTCTGATTATGGTCATCCTGGGTCTGTTTACGTCGTATGAGAGTCAGCGTCTTTGAAATGTAATCTTCCTTGCCTCTGGAAACGGCAAGGTGATCTCGAACATGAAGCCCCGCACTTCCATGTGACTTGGTGAGCACATTACCACCCCATGCTAGCCAGTAATGCAGAACGTCTCAAGCACTTAACTTTGCCATGTCATCCCCTTCAAGTCCAGCTTCACAAGGTTCGGCTATTCTGGACGTACTGGGCCATGAACATCGGAATATGCTCGAAAGAGCTGTGAGGAATGTTCTGGGCACGGAGGTAGCCGAGCTCGTATATGCCCAAATCCTTGATGGACTTCCCATTGAAAAGTCTCTGAGAGACAGTTCTGACTATGTCCGAGATCATCCTGTTCATAGCCTTCAGCATGCCGAGATCTGTCCCGGATATATAGACAAAGCCCGCGAGTTCATGAAACAGTTTGACCTATCGCAACTACAGTTAGACTTGAAGGTGCGTTTTGACCAGGGAACCTTGAATAACCTTCAGTATGTAAGCTCACGCTTGTTCAGACTATAAAAGCATTCGCAGATACAGTGCCTGTGTCAGAAACGTTCAACCTTCGACTGATCGAAATCGTTGCCGTCGCTTGTCATCAGATTGGCGCTTTTCTCTTTAACCTCGATGATGGCGCTCACAAGCACAAATTATATGAAGATTGGAGACAAAGTGTACTAGAAGAAAAGGAACGTGGAGTTGAGTCACGTCGATACTATGACCCTCCTGCCATCGCCTTTTGTCATCGAGCATACCGATATCCTGAACAATATCCAAAAGGTCCTGCCGATGTTGCTGGCTATTGGGCTGAGTCCAAGATCCTCGGTGGCGTCATTGTATTCGATCGTGGCGAGACTGAACAGGAGGTATAGTATTTTGGCTCCTCATAATAGAAGCCAAGAGCTGACGAGCGCTTCGCCTGAGACAGTGCAATGCCATGTGGATCCATGGTGACTTGATCAGAGGCCCCAGAACTCTTTATCCACCGACCCGAGAGCAATTCGATGCCTTGGTCAAGTTCCTCACTACCCCATTCGAAGAAAACTTAACTTGTCCATTTCCTATCCATGGAGCAAGCGTTAATAGACCACGATGGCATCCATATCACGCATTTGCATACTATCACATCTTCCGTGATAAGTATGAGAGGAGGCTTCCACCAAACCCGCCACAGCCAGGCTGTGTTGAGGACGGGATGGACTGGCCAGAACTTGACGATCGGCGACTTCTTCTCCTGGGGGGATTTTCTAACCCTCAAGGCGAGCCGTACGTCAATGATGATGAATACGCTGCGGCCACAGAAAGAATTAAAAACATCACGCCGTCTTCGCCTCTTTGGCGACCATCTGAGATATAAATTGAAGCTTGAAGCGGCATTCATTTAATGTCAAGAGGCAAACGTGGCCTACGGGTTATGGTCTCGAGATGATATACGACATTTAGAGCATCATGATAAATGTGTGACTAGGTCTAATCTCGGCAGTAAAAGGAATTCGTTCACTTCGTTATGGTAATGTTTTTAGAGGCAAACTAGTCAAAGGGTAATTAAGTTCATCACAAGCTACACTCAATATGATAAGCAAGCGAATATCATCATAACCAAGTTCTCTGTGCTGATTTGTGGTCTCAGTCACAAATCCCAACTGCCCAACGTATCTGGCTGATAACACTCGCGTAGCTTCTACCAGCTACATCCACACGCACCAGAGAACACAGTTCTTTCCACAACCATATAGAACTAGTTGTTCCAAATCCTTCTGTTTCTTATTTCTGGTATTTGACTCATGCCCCGGTCCAACATCATTTGCAGCTCCTTGTATAGTGGCTTAGCTGCTTGTCATGCCTCCAGCGAAAAGAGGAGTCGCCGTAGGAATCACCATCCAGACCGAACCAGCCATACATCCACGAGTTTCCTACCCGTGTTTGCCATTGGGAACTGAGCGGAGCATAGGAGTAATGTGCCTCTGTGAACGCATGACCCTGGTGAGCGCTGATACTCCAAGAGGGTCTGGACATTAAGGTCTCACTTCCTTGATACCAAACCTTGCTTTTTGTTTCGCAGTCACCACAGAGCTTTTGCCAATTTGCTTTAATTCCAAGACATTCACTTCAAAGTCCATAATTGTCGGTCTGCTGCTGACTTCAGTATCAGCCATTTGAAGTAATAGTTCACCATGATTCAACCTCCCTCCGCTGAGGTACTAACTCAGAGAATAGTCACATACAGTAGACTTTATAACAAAAACTCGATACTTGTTAGCCAGCTGGTATGCTATAAGAACGGTCTTATACCGGATGGGTACCCATTGTGGAAAACCGTCGGGGACATCCAACATTCAATCACTGGTCTTGAACAGGTCGATGGACCTAATACTCCGTTCTGGGGTTCCTGCTGGATACTTACATACGGTGAAACTTCCAGACCTTTACTTATACTAGGTAGTTCAAAAGAGGGCTTCGTATTGACTCTTCATACCTTAAACTGGCTTACGGGTGACAAGGGCGAAGAGCTTGGAAACGTCGAGGGAAAGGCCACCAAGGTTGATGACACGAATTGCGCTTTTTTCTCTGGCGATTTACGCAAGAAACTCTGATGCATCTTAATAGCTTTTGCCTAGCATCTGGCTCGTAAATGGTTTTTCCGGAGACATATTTGTCCTGTCTCTCACCCTCCTCCCGAATTCAATCCCTCCCCGTCAGTTGACCTACATCCTGTCATTCCAGCTGATCTTCGGATCTAAAAGAATCGGACTGTGCTCAGCTAGTGATGCTTTGAGAAATCGGCTACATATGAGCCTAGTCGTAGGTAGTATTGCTAGGACGCACGGCTGATTGTCGTCCGATGCTCATCATTGCATGAGGCTGAGATACACCCTTGGCTCCTCCGAAGGACCGGGGCGCAAGGTTCTCGTTTCGGCCCGGAAGCTATACGAAGGGCCGGAGAAATACAGAAATAGCTGGATCGTCTCAATTAAATAGGACGGAGCACATTGTAAGTGGTGGATGATTTATGAAACAGAAACCTTGTAAACAGCCGTACTTTACCTATTTAGGCAAATTCGGATAGTCTCTGCCGAAGTCTCTAGGAATGATCAGGAGATGGGTGAAAGTATATAAGGTGATGAAATGTCCTTTCATCTCATCGAAAGTCTTGCCAATCATTGATTGCTTCACGGTCTGTTTGGATACAAGGCACGGTCAAGATGAAGGTGGCTGTGTTGACCCTCTTTATGACCGCTGTGTCGGCAGCCTCACTACCTGTAAGTCTCACGACCATCAGCAGTAGACCCTACTAATCTTTGAGGTTAGAGCTATCGATTTGTAGGAAGAGTTAACCCGGCGACCAAGCAGCTCACTTGGCCGAGCACCGGAGTTGCCTTCACCTTCAAGGGAACTACCGCTAGTATCAAGATCGACGGTATAACCGGCACATCAAGCGCAGATCTGATTATCGACGGTGGCAGTCCGATCCTCATTAAAAATATAGAGGGAACGTCGATCTCGACTCCAAAGCTCACAAAGGGTACCCATACCGTTGAACTTCGCAAGCGGTCCGAAGCATCTTTCGGTGTCTTCCGGGTTACAGGTGTTAACACGGATGGCCAACTGGTCGAGAACGTAGCACCAAAGCGCAAGATTGAGATCATTGGAGACTCCATCACCGTTGGCTACGGCCTTGATGGCGTTAATCCTTGTGTCGACTCAGCTGTTCTGCAGGACAACGGCAAGACATATGGTGCTGTTGCAGCGAGGGCTTTGAAGGCGGATTATAGTGTCGTTGCGTGGAGTGGCAAGGGTCTTATCCGCAACTATGCCCAGAACCCTCCTGATACTTCACCAACGATGCCAGTTCTCTACACGCGATACGGAGCCAACGATGCCGACAACAGCTTCACGTTTCCCAGTTCGTGGGTTCCCGACGCTGTTGTGATCAACCTTGGCACAAATGACTTTAGCTACCTCAACGTGCGCCAGCCAGTCAACCCTGCAGACCTGACTAAAGCTCTGGTTAAGTTGGTCAAGAGTATACAACCACACTACCCGAAGGCTCAGTTCTTCTTTGTGTCTTCTCCGCTCCTCAGCGATTACTACCCTACCGCGGCTGATGCGCAGAAGTCCACACATGTCAAGGTGCTCAAGGATGCTATGCAGCAGCTGGCTGGTGTCAAGACCCATCTGGTTGATTGGCCTACTCAGGGTTCTGATTCAGGATGTGACTATCACCCAAATGCTGCTACGCAGGCCAAAGGCGGTGCGCTCCTCGAGGCCTCAATCAAGGCAGCTCTAGGATGGTGAAGTCGAGATACGGTATTAGAGAAATTCTTTGGAAATGCTTCTGAATAAAGCAAGCTTCTGTAAAGTCTGAATGGGTTCAAATGCGA